CTTACACAGATAAACAACAAGGTACGAATGGATAATACGCTTCAAGACTATGAAACAAGATTCTACAAACAGCAAATGACATATCAGAATCACTACAACACAACTCAGTGGAAAATAAACCTATGTTGATCAAAAACAAATCAAATACAGAGCTGTCAATACCTTATATACTTCTTGTATTGTGGGAACTCCAACTGCAAACAACAATCAAAAAGTTATAAGCTACAGAAATACACAACTCCATAAGAAAAACCCTGATTAAACTCAGAGAAACTTCAATCGAAAACCCAAATTCAAAGTAGAACACAACCAATTTCGATTACCTTCTACTACTGACCCAGATCCAAGTCTTCCTGCAAAAGGGTAAAATAATCGAAGGGGATCAAACCAAACATGAAATAAACCTTAAATCATTGCAAATAACGAACACCCATACATATTTTTTACCTTCTGTGTCAATTTCGACCTCCTGATTCTAATTCTGATCGATGCATGTGACGATTAAGAGGGCTTCGTAGATCGACACTGAAATTAACGTTGAGATCCAAAGAGATTCAGACTAAGAGGGATTGAGAGTGAGAAGGATCGATGGTGAAGAAGAGAGAAGCAAACTGGGTTTTGGTAGAGTTTTAGAGAGAAAGAGAGAGAGTCAAAAAGTTTCATATCTATTTTTTAGATCGATGATGTCGATTTCTCTTATTTGCTTTTTTTTCTGACTTGTTACTTAGTAAAAAATTGAATAAAGTTTTCCGCTTATAACGTTTTCATGTCATATAACAAAAAAAACTAAGCGCCACAACCAATAGTTTTCACGCCCCTACTATAATAGCGGTTGACTTTTATAAAACGCTATGTTAAATTTCCCAAAACTCAAATATAGCATAAACATCAAAAACGCTATACTGTACTGCTATTAATAACCACATTTCCTGTCGTGTCATCAATCGATGTAGGGCTGTGAGTCCATGCACAAATGCACCAACTTTCTCTGGTATTGTTGAAAGTATTCACAAACGGCTGCCACATCTTCCTTCCCGGGTTCTAGACCAGGCAGATCTGGCCGTACTCTGACTTCACCAGAAGAAAATTCAGACTCTTCCTCTTGGCTTGATAGCTCGTTTAAGATTTCTGAATGAATCTCCGTACACGCAAGCAAAAACATGGCTACTGTGTCAGGCTGTGCACCTCTGAGAGCTGTAAGCGCCTCTTGCAGGGAATCAGTAGCCACATATAAAATAAGGGCCCTGTATCAAACATATAACGTAATTAACTTCTAATAATCTGATTACTTAGAGGAAATTATGTCACCTTCAATTTTCTTAACTTAAAAACAGTGTTAGTGGAAGTATGAACAGTACTGCCAAACATTGTGCTCTGTGTGGAGAAAATGACCAGCACACCTCTGCAATACCATGAGTAGAGAGAGAGATACATTGAACAAGTCACAACGATTAGTAACAAAATCTAGGAAATAAAAATAAGATTCAAAAGTGAAACGGCAAAAGAAAAGACCTGGCATAATCTGATCCTTCTAAATGTGTGGCTGCCAAAGTAGCAGCATCAGTCCATCGTCCAGAATCTTGTAGCTGCATATTAAAAAGGTCCAAAATATTTAGTGTCTAAAAGGTTGTCTGACACACTAAAAAACTAGATAAAAAGAATGGAACAATTTTTATTGAGAAATTCCAAGAACAGAACTTCCCACAAGAGAGAATCTCTTCCACCTCGGTTTTCAACCGAAACTACGAAGCTACAACTGGTTTGCCCCAATGTAGATAATGAACGATTATTTAAGAGGAAGAGAAAATAAAAGAAATGGAAACTCCAACAACACTCAAATATCAAATCCCTCAAACTCCAACTGACTGATTTCTTTCTCACTTTCCTTAATCGATATCATTGTACATTATTAAAACAAAGTAAAAAATGTTCCCTAATATTTTAATGAAAATGATAATCCCAATTCGAAACATAGTTCAGAAGAATATACAACGTTTAGTATAATGAAGGAAACAAGGAAGCTAACCTGTGACCAAGCTTCTTGGTGTCTTCCAACTGCACATAGAAGGTGAGTACCAGAGAGGGAATTGTCGGACCTTACCATGTTGGCTGCAACAACCTACATGTGCAACGGATATAATGGACATATTTTTTAAAAAGGACAAGACTGTCAAATATGGTAAGGCAGAAACCTTTAGCGCAAGGTCGAGAAGAGATTTAGACACTGCTAAAGAGAGTGCGAAACTCGTAGAGCATTTGGATAGAAGTATGGAGAATCTGGAGCAGAAGAAAGCAGCAAACTAACAGCAGCTTCCAAATTTCCAACTGAAATTAGTCTAGTCATAAAGGTTACTGAGTGAATTCAGTTACCACCACCAGACATAAAGCGTAGAGATTCAGACTCAAAACCTAAAAAGTCATTAACTTTGATATATAAGATTCTGGTCTAGTTTGCAAGCAAAAATTTTAATGGCTATTAAATTAACAAGTAAATTGATGTTCAAGTCTAGAGTATGACTATTCCCGGTTATATTGCACAAACATCGTGACACCCAAATATGTTTGAACTAACAAAGTGGTTAGTCTCTCTAAATCTCCAATACCAGTTGCCAATAGTCTATGATAGAAAAGATAAACATGCATAGTGTATCTAGAAATATCAAAGAATACAAATAATATATTTGCAAGCAAAAAGTTGCATATTGAGCATACGTACGAGATCAACACAACCATGCTTCTCACAGATGAAAATTCTAAACTCTGTATCCACGCTAGAAAGAGGCTTCTAAAATACTTATAATTTCCATTTCACACCAAAAGCATACCAGAATTTTAGGTAATCGAATGAAAAAATAAACAATAAAGACGAACTGAAGGTGAAAAACTAACTCGTGTACTTGTTTCTGAATGCAATCTTCCCCTTCCAATTTTTTATGCCAAGGAAGACGTTCATTGGCGCGTGTCCATAATTCTTCTCGTTCAAAAGCCATTAATCTAAGCGAACCATCACACTGTTCCTGAAAATGTGTAATATAAGCTCATATTCAAATGAAGTTATAATGATCTAAACTGACTGCGAACAAAAAAGCCCCATTAAGATAGCAGAAAACTACAGAGTAAAGGGATTGCATCCCCAAAATAAAAATCTCCACTAAGTATCCCGGTACAAGGGTGGCTAGCATGCTTGATACTTTGAAAGAAAAGATACATGATTTTAAAACTTACCATAGAATCTATTTTCCTGGCTTCAGGTGCCGATATAACAGTAGATGATATTTTACTCAGCATAGCTGCTTCATCAATTCCTGAGGCTAAAGCAGAGGAAGGGATTTTCTGTGGAGACCTTCTCATCAGCTTATTCATCAGATGGCGAATGGCTTGAGGCAACCAGAAAAGTGCTTCAGAGGTTTCACCAAAAAATTGTAGATGCAAAAGCAAGTCTTGCAGCACAACCTTTCTTGACAACATCAGCATACAATTTTGCTCTTTCATCATCCAGCAAGCAACCTAGGATGATAGAAATTTAGAGGAGGAAAGAAAATAAAGAGAGGGGTATGTGTTGATACATACTAAAAAAGTGAAACAACCCTCTTTTCGATACATTTCTAGTATCTTCAGCAGCATCTCTGGCACTACAGGGTCTCCTAAAGGTGGTAACTGAATCATGTAACTCCGAAGATCCTTAAAGGATGAAGCCATTCCCACAGATCAAATGAGGCCTGAAGAGGAGTTGGTTTGAGTTTTTCTTGTACCAGTCGATTGTACTACAAGGAAGTGATACAGAAGTTGAGCTGTGTGATTTGTGAAGAGGAGTT